GACTCTGAATTCTGTCCCATTTATCTACATGCCCGTCCTCATGCTAGTCGCACATTGCCTTGATTACTGCAGCTTTGTAGTAAGTCTGGAAATTGAGAAGTATGTCTTCCAACTTTTCTCTTTTTCAAAATTGTTTTGGCTAGTCTATATTTCTTGAATTGCCATATGAATTTTAGGATGAGTTTGTCAGTTTTTGCAAACAGAACAAAACAACACAGCTGGAGAGGTCAGAAATGGTCAGATTCTGGTGAGATTTAGAAAATAACTTTGGCAGGATTTGGGGCCAAGGATGACCCTCAAGGTTCTGGCTTAGGAGCTGATGACTGAAGAGGGGAAGAGGAAAACCCCAAGTCCCGTGAGAAGCAGATATTGTGGGCAGAGAGGAAGCAAAAAGGAGAGGGCGTCTGACATGGGGTGGCTTGGTGGCCGGGAGGCGCCGGTACAGGTGACCGACACGTTGGGGGTGAGTGTTTGCCACAGAAGGAGGGACAGACACGCACTGCGGTGATGCGTATGGGCCCTCACATGCCCTGTGAACATGAAGCCGCCTGTTGTTTCAGTAGAGATGTGGGTGGAGGCCAACTGTGCTGGGGAGTGAGGAAGAGTCAGCAAGGTGTGTAGTTATGAAGCAGGAGGAGATGGAGAGGGGGCCGGGCCGGGACGTGTGGTCAAGAGAGACTGTTTTTAAACATGGATGCCTCAAGCCTGTTGAAGAGTTGGAAAGAGTGTTTCAGTATTCCAGAAGAATGGAGGGAAGAGTTGATCTTCCTGGGAACTTTAATTGACAGTGGGAAGGAGGTGGAATAAAGTCCAGAGGGACAAGCCGGCTCAGCAGAGAGGCAAGACCCCACCTCCTTTGCTGGAGCTGGAGGAGGGCTGAGGGGTGCATGGGAGAATGGAGGTGTGGGCTCCTCTCAAGCGACTACCCTTCGCCTCCTTGCATACTGAGGGGCGGGCAGTAACAGCTCCTGGCCCCAAAGGCAGCCCGAGTCACCGGAGATGCAAAACCGAGTGAAGACCAAAACATTTGGCTTTCCACACTTACCACCTGGCCTCTCACTCAGGCTTCCTGTTGTTTTGTTCTTGTTTTCAGAGTGCGGAGGTTTTGCGCAGTGGAAGGGGGTCGGGTTGCCAGGGCTGGAGTGGATCAGAGCTAACGGCCACAGGGATTCCCACCCAGAGGCCCAGGGGATACACCATGGGGGCAGTGGGTTCAGGCCAGATTCCAGGCCACCCGGCCAGCATGAAAGCAACCATGGTCACCCGTGTGGGGTCCCCCGTGGGGTTGTGCGTGCCAGGAGGAAGTGTGTGCTGGCAGTGGGTCAGCGGGCAGCTGGGGTGTTAGCTCTGGGACAAGGGGGCTCTCCTTGCCATGACGACAGGAGGAAACCTTGGGGTAGGCCAGCAGCACTGCCTGGGAAGAACCCAAAAGAGTGCTGGCTTTCAGTGGAAATGTCCGTTTGGGGCCTGGGTCAGGCTGGTCTCCAGTTTGCAGTGATGCTGAGTTGGAAAAAGAGGGCTTCGTTAGGAGAGGGACAGACAGGGGCTGCAGCTCAGCTCTGCACATCTCCCTGGCGTGTGTTGGAGTCTCCGGCCAATGAGGGGCGGTTCCCTCTCCTCTGGACCCATGTGCGTCGGTCTCAGCGGAGCAGGCCCTGTTTGTTTACTGGGTTTTTCTGCCCACCGGAGCTCCACACAAGTGAGTCTGGGGCCACTGTGGGGACAGATATGGGGTGACCTTGAGCAGGCAGGACTCCAGGTGCAAAGATGTGGGGTCCCCAGAGAGGGGTCCCAGCCAGTGCTGCCCTCTGGGTGCCGAGCTCAGGATGTTGCAGTCTCTGAAGTTCCGTTTCCCATTTGCATCGATGAGCAGGGATTCAGATTAACTCACGAGAAACTTAATAACCCAAGAAAACAGGCTCGTCTGGATGAAAACCTCCGCTTCACTTCAGATTCCCGACAAGAAAGTCCACAGTCATCCTGGCTAACACGGTGAAACCCCGTCTCTACTAAAAAATACAAAAAACTAGCCGGGCGAGGTGGCAGGTGCCTGTAGTCCCAGCTACTCCGGAGGCTGAGGCAGGAGAATGGCGTGAACCCGGGAGGCGGAGCTTGCAGTGAGCCGAGATCCGGCCACTGCACTCCAGCGTGGGCGACAGAGCAAGACTCCGTCTCAAAAAAAAAAAAAAAAAAAAAGAAAGTCCACAGTGATGGCAGCAGTGCTGACGTCCTCTGGGTTCACTTCCAGGCTCGTCCATGTGTGTCTCTCCATCTCCAAATAATTCTTTCCCTCTCACTTTATGGGTGAAGAACTTAAGTCTCAGAGAGGGTAGGGACCTGCTGGTCAGGCCTGAGTTGGCGGCAGTGCCCTGTGTGAGCTCTGGGGACCCTTGTTCCTGTTCCCACCACAGAGTGTCCATGGAGCAGCGTGACTCCTAGAAGGAAGGGGCATCTCTTTGGAACCCTCCACATTTCTGTGGCGAGTTTTCCTCAGCACGTGGCCCTGGATGTTGTTTTGGTACATGGGGGCTTAATGTGCTGCCAGGGATGCCGATTGTGTAAGAGCCTGCAGACAGGAGAGCTTTGTCTGGGGTGGAGCCTACTGAGCCCATGGGCAGGGCTTGGCCACACACAGGCCCCAGTGGGGGACAAGAGGGCCACAGGAGAAGAACTGGCATACCTTACTGGGCTTCTAGTAGTGATTGTCGTTTGCTGCCAAGACATTTCCTGGAAAAGGGAGGCTAAATCATATCAAGGTTGAGCCGGGTCCTCGAGTCCTCATAAAGGAGGTTCTAAGCTTGGGGGTATGTACTTTGATGACTTGTGTGCTCTGTATCCCAGGGGTTTCACCAGGTGCCATTCTGCTCTTTTGCCCAGAGAAGCTCGGCGGCTTTGATGCCTCAGGGAGGCAGGAGTGGCTCTTGGGAGCAGCAGTTGATCCCCGGGATCCTAGTGCTTTGCCTAAGTAGATGTGGGGCCTCAGGGGTCAGGACTTCAGAGCCCAGGGCTGACTGACCTAGGGACAGGAGTGTAAGCGTGTGGGCAATGAAGAATTCCAGGGCTTTATTTCCAGACTCCCATGGGTGTGTGTGGGTGGTGAAGCCCCAGTGAGCTGGTTATCTCCAATCAAACAAAACTGGAGGTCCCTTTGCAGAGACTCTTGCAGTTCATGTCCATGCGGCTTCTCTGAGAAGCAGGAGAGACTCAGAGCGGAACTCAGGGGAGTCGTACTGGGGAGAGGCAGCATCTCCTCTGGAACACACAGACCTTGTGTCCTTCCCTCCAGCTGTCAGCCAGACGGCCCCGGTTGTCTTGCATATTTACATACGAAACGGTAACAAGAAATTCTGCTTGAGCCAGTCAGCCCAGTGAGCAGGTTTCTGCAGCGTCTTGTCTCCTGGGACAGATACTTGGAAAGTGAGCCCTGTGCACTTCGGGGCCTTGTCTCTCAGCTTCTGTTGTCACCATAAAAAAAGAGAGACACGGAGAACCCCATGCCCCATCTTCAAAGTGTGAAGCACTCTCCCCGCTGGCATGATTCTTGTTGGTTCACTGACGGAATCTTCCAACGTGTTTTTCCTCCCGATACCCCACATCCCTGGTCACAGAGTTGAGAACTGGATTACCTGGTGGGCAGGCTGGGTCCCAGTTAGAGGCACCTCACACTGGCTCAGTGCAGATGACCAGTGGCAGATGGAACCCAGGGGGCCTAGAGGTCTTGGGCTATGGGGAAACTCCCACAGCTCCCTCCTCACTAGTCCAGGCACCGGAGCGTGCGGTGGAAGCCCTGTCATCTCAGCGACTGACTTACAGCTCAGTGAGGGGAGGCACAGAGTAGGTGCACAGAGAAGGTGCCGAGACTGAGTGGTTTTCCTTGACGGCCAAATCGGCTTTCCTCTGTGTTTCTGCTCCGGAAGGTAATCCGAAGCCCTTTACTGGGATGGAAGCATTTCCAGATAAGAAGAGGATGCTGAGGCCACAGCCACAGGGCTGCCTGGGGCCAGGAGTGGCCAGAATCCTAGAGAAAAATTGTTTGGGGATGCACCTCAAAAACACGAGGAAAAGAAAGAAAATGGGTGGGAATAGTGTGCCTTCGGCAGAATCCAAACTCACTTCCAAGGCAAAGCCAGAGCAGAATGCAAGAATATTCATTTCCTGTTTTTATTGTTGGTTACTTAATGACCTTCCTTTGAAATGCTGCAGTTATGTAGAAAGCAGGTCGTCATGGAAACGGGGAGTGACGTGCAGGGAATAGGTACACAATGCATTTCTTTGTCATGTCCAGCTGATGCATTCAGCCTCTGCTTAGACATGGGAATTTATTGAGGAATTAAATATTAACTGGAGGCATTGCCCTGGAGAGAGGCAGAAACACAGGGTGAGAAAAGATGCTGGAAACCAGGGCAAAGAGCATGCTGAGGCCCCTGGGATCCTGCGGGAGGCAAAGCTGATTGGAGACCATGGGTGGATCTCACTTTCTTCAATCAATGGGCTCCAGAGAAGTCGTGCAAAACAATCTTCTTTTTCAAGTGCACATGTACTGTGCATTCTATTGAGGGGAAGAAGGATCTGGTTGTAAGGCGAATAATTACTCATTAGTCAGCTCATTTTCAAGGTTGGTGAAATGCCAACTTTTCTCAAGGTGGGTTTCAGCTACCTTGTCCCAGCAATCTTTGGCGGGCGAGGTTGTCAGTGGGAACCAACACCCACCCAAGGCATGTTCCATGAAACGGCACCAGAGCTGGGACAACGGTGCAGACGACTGTAGGTGCTGGAAGACTCCGAGGAGGCTCCCGAGTCAGAGAGAAGTCGTCTCTTGTCCCTGAAACGGCCACAGAGCCATGACCTTGTCTGTTTTTCTGGTGGATTCCAGGAAATGGGGGTTGAATATATGATGTTTAAAAAAGTGCCCCAAGTTTCTCACTTTCTCCCCTTGAGCCAGCATGGCTGGCACCCACCAAGCTTTCCTTTTCTGACCTTGTGCCTTTTCAAACCCTCAGAAAATGAGTTCCGGGGTGAGCTGCTGAATCAGAGGTGGACACACGGAGGCAAGGCCAGCAGCTGCAGGACCTCAAGACACCTTCTTGGCAGACACTGCAAGGTGAGGCGTGAGAGGGCAGCCCCTGTCCTGGGGCCCCACCCCGTGGCTGCCTGCAGAAAGCCTCTCGTTGGCTGCAGGCGTGAAGCGTGGAGACGACTTTGGGTCTGATCCTCACCAGAGTCCAGGTTAGGCGAAGGGAAAATGGGGACTAGGATCAGCAATGCTCTGGTCACTTTAGAATTAAGGGAAGAAAAACGACGACTCTGAGTAGATCAAAACTAAAATGTGACCCCAGGCCGGGCGCAGTGGCTCACACCTGTAATCCCAGCACTTTGGGAGGCTGAGGCAGGTGAATCAGTTGAGGTTAAGAGTTCCAGACCAGCCTGGCCAACATGGTGAAACCCCGTCTTTACTAAAAATACAAAAATTAGCCGGGCTGTAATTCTAGCTACTGGGGAGGCTGAGGCAGGAGAATCGCTTGAACCTGGGAGGCAGAGGTTGCAGTGACCCAAGATTGTGCCACTGCACTCCAGCCTGGGTGACAGAGCAAGACTCCATCTCAAAATACAAGCAAGCAAGCAAGCAAGCAAACAAAAACCACCAAAATGAAAACGTGACCCCAGAGTCTCACTTCCCTGCTTTGAGGTATGATCACATCTGGGCTCTCTGTTGTGCCTGAGCAACTGTTCCCTGTTCACCCTGCTTTTACCTGGGCAGGCTGAGAATCCCTACAGGATCTGACGGCAGAGATTGTTGGCAGGAACTTATGAAGTCTGTTGGCCTTGTTTTATTTCAATCTTCCTAAGGGGAGGCAGATGGTGCATGCCCTTCTTGTACCTTCCCAGGATATAAGATCTCCCCTCGGGGACACTCCCAAACTGTGATATCACATGTGCTTACAGCCACTGTTCTCCACCACCAACCCTCTAATTCTAGAACTTCGCACCAATACTCTGTGGGTGAAGCCAGGTCCCAGGGTCAGGTGACCCTCACAGCTGGAAGTAGAGGCTGACAACAGGCTTAGGGTGAAGCCTTCCCAGATACCAGTTTCTGACCTCTCTTTTTTTCGCATGTAGATGCTTTCCAGCAAGGATCCAGCTGTGACTCAGGGCACGGCTCAAGGACGGTGATGGCGCAGGGTGTAGGCAAGGAGGGCTATGCAGTTGCGGTGGGAACTTCATTTGGGAGTGCTTGTATTTTACTTTCAAAGCCCAACCTTTTTCTTTTGAATCTGATGACGAGAATGTACATTTTAATGGGTCTGTTATAGATGCCTCGTTAAGCGCCTCTGCTCGTATTTTGGCTCCCACAGGATTATCAGTGCTCTGCTGATCCACACTGGAGCCTGAGGCACAAGGAGGAGTCAGTAATATTGATCCTGTCTTGATTTAAAGTTTTGGTATCTTGTTTATCATGGTTTTTTACATCATGTTGATGTTTCTAAATATTGAATTAAAATATTATTTATCTTGGTCATTCAGTTTTTGGCCTCATTCCCCTTGCCCCACCCCAAACCCTGAGGATTCACATAGAGCTGTACTGGCCTGAGATCATGTGAGCATGAGAGTTACTTGATTTGAGGCCAGGGGCTCTACATGCAGTGTTATCTGCAAATGTCTGGTGCCATGCCAGGGGTGGGTAAGAAGATTTTTGTCTCCCCCTGGCCCAGGCATGACAAACTCAGAGAGTTTGGCACCTACATGGACAACCCACGGCTGTTCAAAGTGCTGCTTCTGTGAACAAAGCCAGGGGCCTGTGCCCAGATTCTTGTGGCGTCACCAGCTCTTTCATCTCTCTGTTTGAGGGTCATTTCCTTATTTCCCTTCATTTCTTGCAGATAGGGCATGAGTTACTGCTCTGAATAGAGAAGCTAAGACGTAAAGTGTGCCAGAGAAGGTGAGAGGATGAGAAAGGGTTGACTGCCTAGATAGAGGACAGTGGGGCAGGTGCAGGTGGAATCTCCTGACTAAGGAGGCTGAAGAGGGTGGCAGTACAGGGGATGAGCCGTGGTCACAGTGCGAGAATGTCACACAGCCACAGCAGCATCAGGGTCAGCCTTCCAGAGGCTGGCTTAGGACAGGAGACGGGTGAGGTGAGGAGCCAGCATGGGAGGGCAGTGAACACACAAACCCTGTGCAGGGGACTGTGACAGCCTGCGGCATGCCTCTGAGTTCAGCACCAGGCATGTGGACAGCTCAGGACCGGTTGGAAGGGGCTGCCAGAAAAGTCAGGTGGTGGTGTGTCAGTGGGGTGTGCAGGCACTGATGGTAGCTCCTCAACTCCCTTCTTGCAAATTATTCAGTGGGTGACTGTAGAGATATGGAATCAAGGAAAAGATCAGTTGCATAGCCATTCAGCCAACCCTTCTTCCTGCCACCCAGGGCAGGGGGTGCCTATGGCAAGGACTACTGGATAGAGGCTCCTGCAAGGGAAGGAACTGCCACTGGGTATGGCCCTTCTGGCTTGCCTCACTTGATGTTGTTGGATTCTACCCTGGGTGGGTATAAATTCCATTTATGCTGGAGTTTTTAACAGACGGATGCAGATATGGCTGCTTCATCAGGGTATCCATTATGTAGCTCTAATTTTTGATTTGGGAGTGAAGTGAGCCAGTATCCCATGCTTAGAGCTGTCAAGAGAACCCCTTCTCAGACATGTGTTAAATAATGCCCCATGGAGGTGTCCTTTCTGTATTCCAAGGAGGAGGCTGGTCTATTCTGCTGAATTTGTCAGGAGAATTTCAGAATTTCAGACATGCAACAGGAATCACCCAATGTGGGGACAGAACTATCTCTGCAAGGAACCAGGGGTACTGTGATGGCTGCCAGTGGGGTGCAGGGGTGAGGGCATATAGTTTAGCCTCAGAGATCTAGAGAGTGGAAAGCAGGATGTGTGCCCAGCTCACCGACTTTCTGTACCTGTTCTGTGGGCTGAGCTGGCGGGCAGGTCCATGCTCCAAAGAAAGGGAAGGGAAGGGCTGTGGACGCAGCAGGTGATCCTCCTGGGATACTCGGGAGGGGAGCAAGACAAATGCTTGAATGTTGCTCTTAGATTGTTGAGTGGGAACGTGGTCTTCCACGATGCTCTCTGCCCTAATGGCTTCACAGCAGTGACAGGGAAGTTGATGCTGCCCTCAGTACCTAAGTGAGAGAAGAAAACAGGCCAGACCATGGCTCTGTCTTTCTCCCCTCCCCTCACTGCAGAGAATTGAGACTGAATGTGTGTGAGGCACTGTTGGAGCCGGGCAGGGTGGGTGATAGCCAGTTTCTGGCCACGTCCTCGCCCCGAAGTCTTCATTGGCCCCTTCCTCCCGGGAGGGGGCTGCCTATGGTCCCCTGGGACTCAGCAGATGGGTCTCCGGGAGGAAAACCATTATGCAAGAGGCCCAACCGTCCCACCGAGACACTATAACCTTTGCAATTTTATGGATTTTTAAAGAATAGTTGTCAGTCCATCCTAATTCTCCAGATTTTCTGGCTGTCAGAACACATTTTAAAGAAAATGAAACACTGTCGTGTCTCCTGCTCTGGTCCAGGGCTGGGTGAATGGCCCCTGTGGTGTCAGAACGCCCGGAACCCCCCAGCTCAGGGTTCCCACATATGGCCTGTGTGCAGCCCTCTGACCATGGCTCTCCACACACCCCAGCCCCAGGAGTTCAGAGATGTTTCTGACTGTCCCCATTTATTCATTCATCCACCTGCCCATCCACCCATCCTTAAATGACATGCACTAAGCAGTTCTCTGGAGGAGAGACGATGAGCTTACAACCATGAATGAACGAGCTCATTTCAGATTGAGATGAGGACTGTGAGGGAAACAAACAGGCACAGGGTGGAGACTGAGAGGAGGTGGGAAGAGGCAGGGTGTTGGCCACCCAAGAAAGCTCCCGGCTCTACCTCTGGAGTGCCTCCCACCCCAAATGTCCGCAGGTCACTGATCCATCCACCCTCCCCATCCCTACCTGGCTCTCAAGCCTTAGCAGAGCTCCCTGTTTCTTGAGCTCTCCCCGAGCACTCCCTGCCACCCTGGAGTGATGTACAAACCTTGGGATGCCAGGCTGGTGCCCCTCAGGGCCAGGACACCCTCCTGCTGGGGCCATGCTTCAGCCAGGATTCTGTCCTTTGACCGGCCCTGGGCCATTGGTGCAGAAGGGATGTTGTGGGGGTTGAGGGAGGGAGCTGTTCAGCTCTCAGGGCCTGGCCTGGGGAGAAGCATGGAAAAGGAATGAAAGAGGCAGAGAGAGACAGAGAGAGAGTGAATGAGTGAGCGAGGAGAAATGGGTGTCCCTGAGCTGGGGCCCGGAATGGAGCGGGAGACACAGCCTCTGGGGGTAAATGTGGAAGTTGGCACAAAGCCTGTTGGGCTTCATGGAAAATATCCAACCCTGACATCTTTGGAGGCTGAGTCTACCACTTCCCCTTAGAGGTTAGACATGAGGGGTTTGTTACTGGCTCTGTTTCTGGGTTCTTTTCATTTTTTATTTTTTTTGAGACGGAGTCTTGCTCTGTCGCCCAGGCTGGAGTGCAGTGGTGCAATCTCGGCTTACCTCAACCTTTGCCTCACGGGTTCAGGCAATTCTCCTGCCTCAGCCTCCCAGGTAGCTGGGATTACAGGTGGCTGCCACCATACCTGGCTAATTTTTGTATTTTTAGTACAGTCAGGGTTCACCATGCCTGCCTCGGCCTCCCGACGTGCTGGGATTACAGGCGTGAGCCACCACGCCCAGCCCTGTTTCTGGGCTCTGAGTGTATTTGTCACAGCTGCAGCCTAAGAGTCCAGATTCCTCTGCAGGTTTCAAGACTGCTAACTGCATTTGCTTGTTTTGGTTCCTGAGTTTGTAAACACCCAACTCAGGGCACTCTGTTTTAGCAAGGCCAGCATGCAGATGGGTCTGGAAAAGGGGCTGGTCTTCGTCGCACGTCACGGTGAGAACTATGTGTGTGTGTGTATATATATATACTTTTTTTTCTTTTTTTGAGACGGAGCCTCACTCTGTCACCCAGGCTGGAGTGCAGTGGTGCAATCTTGGCTCACCGCAACCTCCACCTCCCAGGTTCAAGTGATCCTTCTGCCTCAGCCTCCTGAGTAGGTGAGACTACAGGCATGCGCCACCACACCCAACTAATTTTTGTATTTTTAGTAGACACAGGGTTTCACCCTGTTGTCCAGGCTGGTCATGAACTCCTGACCTCAAGTGATCCGCCTGCCTCGGCCTCCCAAAGTGCTGGGATTACAGGCGTGAGCCACCGCGCCTGGCCAGAACTATGTCTATTTTCAAAAGGGCTTACATGATTAATCCTGACTTAACTAAAAAGAAATATAAAACAGAACAAAGCAAAAACACACTTTTGAGGAGACGGCTTTTATATGGCACTAAGAAAGCAAGTTAAATGGATGGACAAGGAGACAGTTCTCTCGGGTTAATTTGGCAGTATACAACGTATTTGCATTTATGAATTATTCTCCTCCCCATAGTTTTCATGGTTTTCCTACTGAAGGCAGAACTATTGAAATATTAATTACAGCCTAAGACATGCTCGCAGTGGCAGAATGAAGTTGGCATTGGAGAAACAGAGCAGACGTTCTTGAGGGAGATTGCCGGCCCAGCAGTGAGAGTGGGTAATGGGGTCATTCTGTCTCAACAAAGGGACCTTTTCACCCTCATGAGGAGAGGGCACTGGGTTATTTGTGGGTTGCACAAAAAAAGGGACCTGGTTGGTTTGTGTTTGGAACAAGTGAAGTGTGTTTTAAAAATCAATGAAAAATTGAGAAGTGTTTAATTTTCTTTGCATCATTGAGCTGCCCTTTGGGGCCCAGCTGTCATTGTGTGGTGGGGGCAGAAGGTCTGGGGGGCTGCCGCCCAGTGATCGCCAAGGTGAGCGTGGGTGGTGCTGGGCACAGGGCCACCCCCAGCACCCACTCTCCATCTACCACATCAGGGTGCTGATCTTGCTGCAGGAGGAGAGCAGAGAATCCACCTCTGAAGTGCTTTGAGTTCTTTCGAAAAGAAAAATAATGTAAATCAGGCAGTGCTGGTTTTGTCATGGCCTAGCCCAGATGCTTTCGTGTCAGCCGGCACTGCTGATTTCAAACAGCTCAGAAATCAGTGTCCCAAGTCACCCAGCTCTTACGGATTCATTCTCATATTAAAGAGCCTGTTTTTTTTTTCTTTGGTAGGTCAGTTTTTTCCCTTTAAAAATCAAAGCTACATGCACCTAAGAGAACTTCTCGCTTATTGACCAGTCGATGCAGATAAATTGCAAATGGTAGGGTGCTTGGCAGAAGGAGAGGCAGAGCTGTCAGCTTCATCAATGGGAGCTCACAGTTTTCAAGCAGCACCCATTACACATCCCTGCAGTCTCTCTATTCTCTGCTCTTTGAATAATTTATCTGCAGGAAATCCAAATTGCCAAGGCACGCTTTAACCTAGCAGAATGCTTGCCAATATCCTTGGGAAAACTGGCAAACAAACAAACAAAAAAAAAGCCATAGATTGCATTTCAGCTGAGTGCAGGGACCGCGCAATCAGACACGTCAGCTCCATTGTGCGTCCTGCATCGGAGGCATCGCGCACGGGCTCCGCGCAGACGACATTTGAAGGCTCATAAATGTAATGAAGTCCCTGTGACACCTGCTCCTCTCTTCACTTTCAACGTGAGCCATTGGTCCATGGGGAGCCTCTGCTTTAAAATAGAAATTGTAGTAATTGTCTTCTGTTCTATTGGAAGGCGGAAATAAACGCACGGCCCCCAGCACTGTGCTCCACAGCCCGGAGTCCACAGGTTGCATAAATTACCCAGGTTTTGATTTTTCTTCCTTAACAAATCACATACGTCATTGTATGTTAGTACTGCTGCATGGGGGAGGTTCAATTTGCAAATTTCGTCTTACTAATTGGGGGAATTCCTTTTTCTTCCTTCCCAGGTGGTTCTGTAGACATTGGTCTCTTGCTGGTTTTCAGAAACTAAAGCCCCATTTAAGACGTGGGGGCTTCTGAGCCCCCCTCCTGCTGCCTCCCTTCCTTTCTTCTGCTATTTCTTTCCACTCCCCTGCTTTCCCTTTGACTGCCTCACGCATAGAGCCCTGGCAGCTCTGGTATCTGTGACCTGGGACAGGAGGTGTGGATTTGCTGCCTCCCCTTCCTGACCGCAGGTGGTGGTGGTGGAGCCCAGCACTCTCCTCTTGGGCCTCCTGGGATGGATCATCCCCTGTCCAGCTAGAGGTGCCCTCCCTGGCCTGGCGCGGCTCCCTGGGAAGGACGTTTTGCATAGCATGGAGTGGGTGGGACTTACCTGCCTGCCCAGATTTGTCATGGGTGACACAGGACGAGGATTCTGTGTGTGACCCTCGCCCCCCTCGCTCCCCCGGCATGTCCTTTCTGTGATTGTCACCCTCCTGGGGGCTCCCCCATGCCTCCCTCGCAGGACAATGCTGTGGGCAGCGTCCCCATGGAGGCTGGTCAGATTCAGGGATCACAGGTGGGGAGGGACACCGATGGGCTCAGGCAAGGCAGCCAGGCCCTTGAGGCCCAGAGAACATATGGGCTGGGGCCGCTCCAGGTTGCCTGTTTCTCACGGAATGACCCTGGTGCGTGAGGGGCATTAAAGCCTCTGCTGTCGTGGGAAGAAAAGGCCCATGGGAAGCTGTGCTCTAGGGACACGTTGGGGTCAGAAGCCATTGGATGACCCGGCACTGCCGCTGGTGGCCGTGTCTGTGGTGAGCGACCTGCCCTGATGCCTTGGCACCTGCCTGGCCAGGTGAGCAGTGGGTGCTGCTCTGTGTCGGGCCAGGAGACCCTCCTGGATAAAACACGGACACTCATCAGGCTTCAGTGGAGCAGGGCCCACGTCTCAGCACTTGGTGGCAGGTGCAAATCCGGGGGCAGTAGGAGGGCACGGTGCACTGTACCCTCCTTGCCAAGGGCGGCGACATACTGATGGGACACTTCCAAGTCTCGTAGAAGGTCCTTTCTCCACACCCTCCCACCTGCTGCTCCTGGCCACAGGCCTTTCCTGTCTTGTGAGCCCATCCTTGTTGTTCTGTGCCCAAAATCACCTTTGCTGTCAAAGCTTGAGCCAGAAAATGGACAGACCATTCCTGATGGTTCTATACTCCAGAGGCACTGGCTGGGTTTTCTTGTTAACCTCATGGCTTTTTGCTTGCAGATGAGCTTAGAAAATGAAGACAAGCGAGCTCGCACCCGATCCAAGGCCCTGCGAGGTGAGTGCTGCCTTTACCTCCTCCAGGGCCGTAAATGCCACTTTCCTCCGTGGTCTTCCTCGGGAGCACAAACCCGTAACCACACGTGTGCAGAGACGCCTGGGGACCTCAGGCCTCTTCAGCCTCGTTCATCCTCAGGGCTGCTGCGCTTTGAAGCTGGCATCTCAGAGGGCTACTGAGGGGCCTTTGGCCCGGATGAACCTGCCTTGAGGGCAGAAATGTAGAGGCAGACTCAGCTCCATGGCGTGGGAGTAGCAAGGCTCAGTTATGAGACCATTGTTTGGAAATGAGAGGCCACCAGCCTTCCACCAGCAGCCCCTTCCTTCCCAGGAGATCAGTCTTGGTGCTGATGGGGAATAGGAGGTTGTTGGGTTGAACTGGAAGTGCAGTGGGAGGAGAGGGGGCCAAGGCCTTGCTCACTCTGCTAGGATCTGAGCCCCAGCCCCTGGCCAGACTTACCTCCCTGATCCGTGCGGGAGCTTCCTCTTGTGCCCAAGCATCTCAGGTGTTCCTGCCTTGGTCAGAGCCCCGTGCACCTTTGCAGCCACCACTGAAGGACCAGCCACTTGGTCCAGTTGTTCTCTTCTCTGTCCAGCTTGATCTGGTGGTTTGTGTTTCTTGCCAAAAACTGACTTCTATCTGCAATTAGAGAAAGAGGTACCATCCCTGGCCCTGAGGTCCCAGAGAGCCTGTGTGAGGTGGAGCATCTGTCCCACTCTGCAGAACTGCTCAGGGGAGCTTCTGGGGCGAGCACCGGGCTGGAGGGAGCAGCTCACTCTGTTGACCTCGGAGGACTCTCTGGGAGGTCAGGAAAGGGTGAAGGCCCTGGGAAAATTGCTCAGGTCTCACTGAGATTGCCTCCACTTGTCCTTGGCAAACCTCTCGGCTGTTTAACTTAGTTTATGCTGTTAGGGCAATGAGTCTTTAAAATCACAATTCTCACATGTTTTCCCTGTTTCTCTCTTTTTCCCAGGACCCTCCGAGACCACAGCTGCAGACCTCAGGTAAGGAAGTCTTCCTGTTAGCACCAAGCATCGTCTATGTGCCTGTGACCCTGGAGATGTCCCAAATGTCCCAAACGGGGTCTTCTTGGGTTGACCAAACACCCCGGTGAGCCCCTGCTTTCCCTAAGGAGACCGCCTTTCTCCCGGCCACGTGTCCAGCTGTCTTGGCCCCATCTCTGTCCGTTCTTACCTCTGTCCTGCCCCCATCATGTGGTGTCCCAGCATCATGGCGAGGACACGGATGTGCTCACACCTGGTCACCGAGAGGACCTGGACTGTCACTGGGTCCCCCAAACCAAAAAGGAGCCACTCTCTTAGCGGACTCTCACAAGAGCTTCTGTGTCAGATGGTTGGAGGCCCAGCTTGGGAATGAGATGAGAGAAGGGGATCTTCTACGTCCCGAGTCTTCCATTGGCTCGGGATGCAAACAGCAGTTCTGTGTGCTGATGACCTGGCTGGCTGAGCTCTGTGACCGTTTTCTTCCTGCTTCTTAGGGATACAGATTCCCAGGGCAGGGAGCATCTTATTGTCCAGCAAACCATTGAAGAGTGGATGCCAATCAGGAAAACGAGAGGACTGCAGAGTTCACTTTGTAAACCTTTTGCAGAGGTGGGACGGGAAGACAGTGTCCCTCCTCTGCTTGAGGCCCCATAACTTGGAGATGAACGGGGCAGGGCTACGGGAGGGAGTTGGGGTGCTGCAAGCCCCAGGCTCTGCGCCAGTCACACATCACAGTCTTGATCTCTGGGAAGGTCATGGAAGCACTGCCTTGTGATGTTATTATCCTGTTTGTGAAGTGCGGAAACTGAGACTCAGGGGTTAACCCTCCTCTAAGGCGCTGAATCACATGCGCTACCTGCTGGAAGCCCCGCCCTGGGTAACAGGTGGGAGGGGTGGGGTGGAACCTCAGCCAAACCAGATCGTGTGCCAGCACTTCCGGTCAGGTGTCCTCAGCAACCCACCGGGTGCTCCCCAGAACACAGTCCCCCGAAGCACAGGGGCCGGCTCCCTGGAAGGGAAACACTGTCTGCTTGGCCAGCCTGCTGAGGAAGCAGTGATTGCAATGGCGAGACGCTCAGAGGGGCCCCGAGAAAAGGGAAGAGGAGGTGCCACGTGGCAGTCGCCCGGGGACACGGTGGAGACAAAGATGGAGGATAGTCCCAGGCGAGGACACAGGAGTAGAGGAAACTCCAGGCTTTTTGGTAACAGATGGAGTGCGGAGGAAGTTGAAAAGGCAAATACAAATGGCTGGGTGCTCTCTTGTAGATTTGAAACAGCGGAAGAAAAAATGACTCTCAAATAGATTTGTTTGTTTTGAAACGTTCTGAGAGGACCTGTCCAGCCTAAGTGAGGGGTTCTGTGAGCATTTGGATTTTGACACCCTCGTCACTAGCCTTGAGCTCTAACCTACATGCTTGGTAAGAGTAAGACCCTTGATCTTTTTTTTTTTTTTTTTTGAGACGGAGTCTCGCTCTGTCGCCCAGGCTGGAGTGCAGTGGCCGGATCTCAGCTCACTGCAAGCTCCGCCTCCCGGGTTCACGCCATTCTCCTGCCTCAGCCTCCCGAGTAGCTGGGACAACAGGCGCCCACCACCTCGCCCGGCTAGTTTTTTGTATTTCTTAATAGAGACGGGGTTTCACTGTGTTAGCCAGGATGGTCTCGATCTCCTGACCTCGTGATCCGCCCGTCTCGGCCTCCCAAAGTGCTGGGATTACAGGCGTGAGCCACCACGCCCGGCCGACCCTTGATCTTTTTAATGGACAGACTCGGGGAAAACATGTTGACATCTCGTGTTCCAACAGCAATTTCTTCACCAATTCTTCATTGCTGACAAGTGATGCTTAGAGTAAAATCGAACAAAGATTATGTTCCAAGGAATCAAATACACTCTGCACAGAAGGTACCATGCATTCCTGGGTTCTCAAACATCTGTTGGCCACACGCCCCACGTGGGCATGCCTGTGGCTCGTGCTGGCTGTGTGCCCCAGCCATAGTGCGAGCGTTTACACCACAGAAATGGGCTGATGATGTCTCCCCCTCCCAAAGACCTGTTTACCAGCACACCCTGGGCTCTGACTGGATGAGCAGATGAGACCTCTGTTCTGGTGGGGCCCACACTGTGGGTACCAGAACAGGAAGCATGACCCACAGAGAACACGCACCGTTGTGGGCTGTGAGAGGAACACCACGTCCTGTGTGCAGACCATGGCACTGGATGAACTCACGGACACAGAGTCACCTGTGGGGAACCCCTGCGTGCAGGACTTTCTCTGTGGATGAGGGACTTAGCACCCCATTGACTCAGAACTTCACAGCCTGCAGTGCCCCTAACCCCAGCTCATCTCCCCACCAGCTCAGGCAGAGCTCCCGGGAAGATACTCCATTGGTTGTTTACCAGGTGAACTGAGGAGAGGTTGGACTTGGCTCAAGTTGGACCCTGAGCTGCTGTTTCCGACCTTGGAGCCCACTGGGCGTTTCCGTGTGCCCTGAATTTAACACTCTGAGTGCCTGAGCGAAGAAGCAGTTTGATGACTTTTCCTCTCACCCCAGTGGAAGAACAGATGACATTTCAGCTTGTATTTTTGCCTGGGTCCATCTGTTGTCACATGGCCTCAGACTGGCTCTGCTGGAGGCGAAGACTAGGGAAGGTTAGGGTTGGGGTTAGCATCTTTGAGACAGCAAGTCGCCAACAACCCAGAGTTCAGGACCATCTCCACGTTCAGAGAGAGAACACATCTGTAGCTCACCCTTCCTCTTCTGGAGCCTTGCTCCTTGAGCCACTGGCCAACTCCCACCCAGATGACAGGAGGGAGTGGGGGATCTTCTACCTGCCCCAGGAGAGGGAGGGAAGGCAGGGAAGGCTGTGTCTTCAAAGGCTGTAGCTGAAGCACAGGGCTCCAGGCTGGGATTCGGCTCCTCTCCCGACTTGTCTTCTTTGAGGCCTACTTTTCAAGTTTCGGTCCCTCAGAGCTCTCATGCAGGATGCCAGCCGAGGGGTGACTGTGAGCCACACCCTCTTCCCAGCCTCACGTGCGTCCTTTCGTCGCATCTCTGACACCAGCCCTAGTCAGAGCTGAGGAGTCAAGGCTGGGGAATTCCCTTCTCCCAGAGAAAAGAGGCTCAGGAGTCCTGGAGCCCTGGCCGTCTTCCTCTCCCTACAGCTCTGGCCCTGAGCACCCAGAGGGCATCAGTAAATAAGAGCTGGGTGTGCTTGCAGGTGAACTGCAGGGCTGGCATCTGCTGGCATGGCACCCTTGGAGGCCCTGGCTGGGTCTCTTGTCCCCTCGGCTGTGGGGTGGGGAACAGGCATCTAGGGGGTTTCCAGCTTCCTGCCCCGGAGTGGCCTTGTCGGCTCCACGCACTTGGCTCACAGCCCTGTCTCACAGCCTCTGAGCTGGGGCAGGAAGGTGCGGGCCCACCTTTCTGGGGACCGGGACTCTTCGGAGCTGAGGGTGATGTGTTCGGGGCAGTTCGGTCCCCACAGCGGCTGTCACCTAATTACCTGATTAACTCAGTGATTTCATTGACTGACTGGGACCTTAGCTTCGAGTCCCCAGTAACAAGGAGCTTTTTGTGAAAAGTCTCGAAGCTAGTTCTCCGAAGAGTGAAAGCAAGTGTGGGCCTGGATTTTAGAAGAGACTAGAGGCAGGGAGAGGTGGGTGGCAGCAGCAGCAACTCCCTCAGTTTGGAAAGGGAACCCGCAGTAAGTGTGGCGTGCCCTCCCTCTCTCCCTCTTCCTCCCTCTTCCCCTTCTTTCCCGCCTGGGTTCCTTCTTCCCTCCTCCCTCCTTCCTTCCCTCCCTTCCTGTCTTCTTTTTAACACACGGAAAGCACCACCCTGGAAGGCTGCAGAGAACGTCCCATGAGCACTCCCCCACCTCACGGCTGCTGTTGAGTTGGGTGATAGGGTGAGGTCTGGATTCTACTGACAGTTCTCCCTGAGGTGGTCGGGGAGGGTAGCCTGCAAGGCCATTGGGCCCCACAGTTGTCTGCAGTCAGGCCTGTGGTCAGTCGAATTAGAAACGATCAGAGGTGTCTGGATAGAGGCTGGGGATGGTGTTCTTTTCTCTGGGTCCCAGGTGTGGGGGTGTCAGCCCTTTCCTTCCTCCCTTCACAGGCTCTGGAAGATGTGCTTGGGTTTTGGAAAGAGCTCAGACTCACAATGTCAATCCTGTTAAAAACAAGGTCTTCCGATGCAAAAATCCTCAATGAAATCCTGGCAAACCGAATCCAGCAGCACATCAAAAAGCTCATCCACCATGACCAAGTGGGCTTCATCACTGGGATGCAAGGCTGGTTCAATATACACAAATCAATAAACGTAATCCAGCACATAAACAGAACCAAAGACAAGAACCACATGATTATCTCAATAGATGCAGAAAAGGCCTTTGACAAAATTCAACAGCCCTTCATGCTAAAAACTCTCAGTAAATTCGGTATTGATGGAACGTATCTCAAAATAATGAGAGCTATTTATGACAAACCCACAGCCAATATCATACTGAAAAGGCAAAAACTGGGAGCATTCCCTTTGAAAACTGGCACAAGACAGGGATGCCCTCTCTCACCACTCCTATTCAACATAGTGTTGGAAGTTCTGGCTAGGGCAATCAGGCAAGAGAAAGAAATAAAGAGTATTCAGGTAGGAGAAGAAGAAGTCAAATTGTCCCTGTTTGCAGATGACACGATTATATACTTAGAAAACCCCATCATCTCAGCCCAAAATCTCCTTAAGCTGATGAGCAACTTCAGCAAAGTCTCAGGATACAAAATCAATGTGCAAAAATCACAAGCAATCTTATACACCAGTAACAGACAAACAGAGAGCCAAATTATGAATGAACTTCCATTCACAATTGCTTCAAAGAGAATAAAATACCTAGGAATCTAACTTACAAGGGATGTAAGGACCTCTTCGAGGAGAACTACAAACCATTGCTCAGTGAAATAAAAGAGGACACAAACAAATGGAAGAACATACCATGCTCATGGATAGGAAGAATTAATATCATGAAAATGGCCATGCTGCCCAAGGTAATTTATAGATTCAATGCCATCCCCATCAAACTACCAAGTGCTTTCTTCACAGAATTGGAAAAACCTGCTTTAAGTTCATATCAGAAACAAAACAGAGCCCCGCATTGCTAGAGAAATCGTAATGCAAAGAACCGAAAAAATGGAGGCATCCACACTACCCCGTGCTTCAAACTATCTACAAGGCTACAGTAAAAAACAGCATGCGTACTGGTCAAAAACGAGATAATAGACGGACCAATGGACAAACAGAGCCCTCAGAAATCAATACCGACACATCTACAGCATCTGATCTTATGAACAGACCTGACAAAAGAAGAAATGGGGAAAGGGTTCCTATTTCAATAACAGTGCTGGGAAAAGTTGGCTACCATAAGCAAGAAAGCTGAAACTGGATCCTTTCTTACCCTATGCAAAACTTACCATTCACCGGATCGGCACTTAGAGACTTAAATGTTAGACCTATCCCACTAAAAACCTCTAGAGACCTAGATAATATACCTTCAGGACATAGGCATTGCAAGGACCTTCATGTTTAAAACACCAAAAAAGCAACAGCAACAAAGCCAAAATTGACAAATGGGATCTAATTAAACTAAAGAGCTTTCGCACAGGCAAAGAACTACCATCGAGAGTGACACAGACTACAGAATGGGAGAGAACATTGCTTGCCATCTACTCATCTGACAAGAAGGCTATAATATCCTCAGCCTATAAGGAATATCAATAAGTCTTACAAAAAACAAAACCAAACAACAAAAAACGTGGGCAAAGGATATCGAACAGACATTTCTCAAAGAAGACTGCATAAGACA